CCCCCCCCCCCCCCTGTCATGCGACGGAAGACGGGGGTGGGTGTGCGGGTTTGATAAATGAGGCGTCCGTTCGTTCGTTCGTTTGCAACTCTCGACATGCAGGCGAACCTGGCGGTGAAGACCCAGTCGCCAACCGAGACGAGCGTGTCCTTGGAGTTGTGGGAATGGCGGTCTGTGTTGCCCGTCGGGGAGTTGTTCCAGAGGACCTCGAAATCTCCGGAAGACAGGAACACCCTTCATGTGGTGTTTGGTGGTGGGTAGCGGGTGGTAAGTGGCATCGATTTTGGATTATTCCCGTGTGAGTGGATTTTAACGCTAGCGCGAAGAAGCGAAGGTGGGGGAGCATGCGTTAAGAGGGATTGGAGAAAAGAAAACCATGATCAATATTACAGCAGCATGGATTTTTTCAGTATGCAGCTTGGAGATGAGCAGCTGTCCACATGAGGTGACGAAGACATGTTATTCCCGTCATGCCGTCACCAGGGTGTACGGCCACCGCTGATGTGCGACGGCAACGGCGGCGTAGACGCGAATGACCCATGTTGCTGGCATACGCGCAGCTAATCTGTACCATGCTACACACGGCGGTAGGCGAATGCGAAAGAGTGGACACAACGAAGCAGCAGGTTGTGAAAGGGCGCAAACTAAACATTGCCATTGTTTCGACGAAATCGCGGGAAGAAGTGCACACATGTTTGCAAAACTCGTTGCGCGTGCCCGTGATCAAACTCTGCTCTACAGGAGGTGCTGCGGTGTTTGTTCAGTTGTAAATTGCAACAACAGCAGGTTTCTCCGCTCTTCGGACAACGCGGCATCGCCCTCCTCAGCATTACGACGAAGTACCATAACCCTACGCAAAATGCCACGTCTATCCAGAAGCTTCCCGTTGAAAGGTTTATTGGTACGATGGTAACGTGGTGTTGCGCTATTCATCATCTCTCCTGAGCAGGCACGGCCTGCGCAGCGCTCTGCGCAACCTACAGATGCACACCGCGACACACGCCGGCGGCTTCTTTACTCCGCACCGTACATCTCGCTTCTTCACTCTCCGGAGGCACACCGCCGTGTCTACACAAAATTCATGATGGGCACCAAAAGAGAGGACTCACTTGTTTCCGAACGTTAGGTTGTTGGCAGGAGTGCTGTCAACGGCGAGAGGGAGGGAGAGGTCCGCCATCGCGCAAAAGTCAGACGCCGCCGCCGGGGGTGCCGTCTCCGCTTGTCACGCCGTCACGCCGCGCCTTTCCTGGTCGACTGCTTTCGTTGCTCAGCGTCGTTCTGCTTTTCTTCACGCTCCCCAACACACAACAAACGGCAGGACAACAGCACCACTGTGCCACAATCCAATGACCAATCACCGAGAGAGAGAGAGCGCGAGGAGAAAACCAACCTCTCACGCCAAAGAGAACTGGAAAGCATGGTTTGTGGAGGGACTCCCTCTCCGGCAAATTACACCGCGGGGTACTCACGGTATGTGTATTCCGCGTGCCCCCCTCTCAAGACCTCTGCTGCCCACCCTCCTACATCCAGGGGAAAAGAGGAGCTCTGACTAGAGCGAGACACACACAGACAGCGCAACCATGGTTCTCCAGGAGCTTGGGAGCAAGCTGACCTCGGCCCTGCGGCGGCTGCACACGGACACGGTCGTGGACAGGGAGACCGTCAAGGCCGTCGTCGGCGACATCTGCAGGGCCCTTCTCGAGTCCGACGTGAACGTGCAGATGGTCATGAGGCTTCGGAAGAACGTGGAGGCGAAGGCCGAGAGCCTCGTGGCGGAGCAGCAGGACGGAGGCGCGGGGGGCGGCGTGGGCGCCGCGCAGCAGCGGCGATCCATCCAGAAGGCCGTAGTGGACGAGCTGACGGGCATGCTGGACCCCAAGACCGCGCCCTACAAGATGAGCAAGGGCAGGAGCAACGTCGTAATGTTCGTGGGCCTGCAGGTGCGTTGGAAAAGCAGAGGCCGGGTGTGTGTTGAGAGGGGGCAGGTGCTGCCCTGTGGTTGCATTGCTGCTGTTACCTTACGTGCAATACAGTGGGCGGTGTGCTTCGAGTCTGCAAACGTAGCTGCTAGACGGCGGGATCTAGCACATGACGTCCGCGGACACGTGGTCTAATGGTTCCCGCCTCTTGACGATCCTCGGGCGGCTCGGGTATGTACTGCTGTAGGCCGTATTTAGAGCTGTAGCGATAGGGAGTGGTATTGGACGTCAAGGGCTGGTGCGTAAAATATCCCGTTTGCATCGTGAGAGAGGTGTTGTGATGCGTGTGATAGCGGACTCCGCTGTGTCACGAAGGACTCCGTACGAGAACTCCAGCGCTGCTTGCTGCTTATTTTCGGGAAACCGGTACTGCTGGATGTAAACGCGAGGTTACATTAGGGTTTTTGAGGCAGTTTGAGGCAGTGTGCACGGGCGCAATTTCGGAGTTGTTACACCACACCACATCGCATACCACACACCTTGCATCATGTCTTTCATATCACTATTTCACCACTATTTTCAGCCGCACACCTAAGGGGAAATGACGATAACTCAATATTCGAGAGGCGTTCCACAGAATCTTCCGCGACCCGTTCCCCACTCCCTCCCTCCCTGGTGCAAACCGGCGCAACTTTGTGTGACCCGCGTTCTTCGGAGACGGTTTTACGCGGTTTGCGTTGGTTTGTTCTTCCGGTGGGGGGGGGGAAACCCGATCGGCCGCTCGAAAGAACAATACGAAGAAACGGGTTCTTTTGCTGTGTCACAAAGAAAGATGTCTGTTCTTTTTGTTTGTTTTTGCTGGGGGAGCCGGAGTGGCGACCGGTTCCCGCTCCGAGAGGTTTTCCGCAAGGACGGCGTGTGCCCTCCTGCCTGCCTTCCTTCCCCCCGTGGTGCACTTGTTGCGCGCGGGGGCGGGTGCGGGGGCGGGTGGGCATATGTTTGTTTTGTTGGCGAGATTTCCGACCCGGGGCTGGCGGCCACCGCCCACCCGAGGGGTTTCCTGCACTAAAGTGCAAGCCGTAGATATTCGGGCCCTTTGTAAAGGCGGTGGTACATGTGTATACGGGGTGTGCTCTGTTATCGGCGCGCTCTTTTTGCTCTTCTCCCCGTTTTTTTTCGGAGGGGGGAGGGGAGTGGGAGCCCCCCGGCGTCGTGTTTTTAGGCCTCCCAGATTTTTGTGGAGACCATCCTGTGGCGGTAAATAGCCGACGTACATAGAAGGAGAAGCCACTGATGGAAATGCTGTTTGCAACTTCAGCCGAATTCCCCGCCCCTATGTTGCGGGGGAGGGTGGCTTTGTTGTTTGTTGCTGTTTCTTTCCTGAGGCTTGTTTTTCGATCAAAATAACTAAACGCCTTTGTTAGGTTTTTGGTGGGGAGACTTGGCTACGGCGGCGATACATGGAAGGCGAGGACGGGGAGGCTCGTTCCTCTCAGTTCGGACCTCCCATCCCTCCCACTCGTGCCACCTCGAACCGACACTAACCTTGAATCCTCCTGGCAGAGGAGAGGGTTCCTTTTTTCTCTCCCCTCCTTTTTTGAGGGGTAGGGAGGTAGGGAGGCCTTTCCTTCGCCGCTACAGGGAGGGGTGCCCACGCTTCGTTCCCGCCGCAATAAAAAACTCCCTTGCTTGTGGCGACGTTGCAATCATGGGGCGCAAATTTTACGGCCTCCGGCGAGCGACCAATGTGTGGCGGGGTTCTGGTTTTGTTGCGGCAGCATTATTCCGTGGGCGCGATTGCAGGACGACTTTTTGAACATCATTAGTAATCTGATCCCCCATGTGCGCGTAGGAAGTAGTGACATCCATCCCTGTCAAATGTTCCACGCACAACGATGATTGTGTGTACGGCTGATTGAATCGAAAAACGGTGTGAAAAACAGCGATGCGGTGTGAGGTGTAGCGTTTTAGGTGGTGCGGCCTGTGTGCTTGTTTCTCCTTGGGAGAGCCTTGTGGCGGCGGGCAAAGAAAGGCGTGCCTGTGTTGTTTCAGGGGACGTTGGTTGATCAGGCGGGGCCGTGAAGGGGGCTGTGGTCGAGAGAGAGAGAGAGA